GTTTCCAGGCTCTGTCTCTGCCTCCCTTCCTTGAGCAGCTCCCGCGCCGGCCAGAGCCCAGCCCTTCACTCCCCCTTTGTTCTCAGCTGAGGGCAGGGGGAATCCCCCAGCCAGGGGGGCTGCTTTGGCCTCTCGGGCGGGACAGTTTGAGCCAGTCCCTTAGTGCCTCTGTTCCACTCGGCCAGCCAGCGAGAGGTGCCTGTCTCCGGCCAGCTCGGCGCTCGGCAGTGCGCTCAGTAGAACCAGGGATGTAAAGACCCCCCTCCCTCCCCTGCTGTTAAACGGCCCTAAGTGGCAAGGGGAGAATTCTGTCCCTGCCCTAGGTACCACCTGGGGCGGGGGCTACCCACGGCCGGGACCCTGCCCCTCAGCTGAGGCAGCATCTGCATGGGAGAGCCGACCTGCTCCCTGCAGTGTGGGTGGGGGAGCCTGGAGGAGCGTTGGTGGGTCGGGGCCGGGAAGCGACGGATCCAGCCCAGGGACTGACTGCGGGGTGAAGCCTGGGCCGTGCTGCGCGGACACACACCGTGTGCAGGGAAATGCGGGCGCCGGATTCCTAGCCGATGTTTCCATTTGTCACACCTGGGTGGGCTGGAACCTGGCTCCGGGAGATGTCTCAGCCCAGCCCCGCTGCTGTTGAGACGGGTGACAGAGGGAGCTGCTGGCCCCGTTCTCCTGGAGGGGCCAAGAGCTGGGCCTTGCCCTGCCCCCCAGTGTGAAATCGCCTTGGGGCCATACTGCCAGGCCAGCTCTTCCTGGGCTGGGGGGGAGGGGCAGGTGTGCTGGGGGGCACAGCCTGCTGCTGGGTGATGTGCACCTTGGAGTCTCTTCCCAGTGGTCGTGCGGGGGCTGGGCTTCTCGTTACAGGGCCTTGCTTTCTGTAGCCGGGTCCATGGCACGTCAGCTGAGTGGGCCCGTAGGCAGAGCATGCCCTGAGCCAGACAGCAGTGGAGCAAGGGGCTGATGGGGGTCCCAGGGCAGGGGGCTCAGCTGCCAGCGTGTTGTAAAATCAAGACAAGGCACGAGGTGGGGTGCTACACCTGGCACACAGGGGTCCCAATCCTGATCTCTCTCCCCCTCCCCCCCCAACCTACTGTGATGTAAATGCTGAATAATAATCCCTAACTTCAGTGTGGCCACCCTCCCCCTGGGAAAATCATGAGTCAGACTCCCCAAAATCATGAGATTGCCTTAAAAAACATGAGGATTCTTTTTTCAAAAATGTAACGGGGTTCTCTTTATTTCCCTTCCCATTTCTGAACCAGGCAAGCTAGAAACTGCCGCTTTGCAGGGCACCTTTCCCCTGCTGCTCTTCCCAGGCGCCTGGGGCTGGCAGACAGCAGAGCTCCTCAGGGTTGTGTGTTCCACACTTCGATTTCACACACCCAGTATCAAGTGTGAACTCCTCAGGGACTAGAACAGCCTGAACATGGAGGCACAGGCAGCCCCCTTGGGCACCCTGACTCTATCCTGCCACCCAGGTGAGCCTGCCTGTGACAGAGGGTCCCTTGCACCAAAACCCATAACAATATTGTGGTCACTCAGACCGGTCAATTGCACCTCAGATCTCCAACCGAAGACAATGTTGGTGGCCTATCCTATCATAAACTAGCTACAGCTTTGCTAACTAGGAAAAGAAAAACTGACCAGGTTAAAGCAGGTAAACAGACTGTAAGGGGTCAGACTCACCCCTGCGGCGCCTCCTGCTGGTTACTCCAGGGAATCAACTCAATCCAGCCCAGAGCGCCCTCTGCAGGCCGGTGATCCGCCTTGTCCTGACTAGCCCCTGTGTCCCTCCCAGGATGCCGGTGCCCCTTGCTCTGGGTGCTGCCCCCTGGCAGTACCCCACACACTGGGTTTCCCCTCTCAGGGGAACCCCCACCCACTAGCCCCACCTTGCCTCAATGTAAGGACACGGCCAGTCACCAACTAGCCCCCACGTCCTGGGGCAGACTGCAGTATAGGCCACTCATCAGTGGCAAGGGGGGTTTGGACCTGCTGCCTTGGACTAGCCCTGGGCTGCCCTCTGCAACCCCCAGTACCCCGTGGCCTAGTACTAGGCCACAGCCTGGGACTTTCCAGGCTGGAGCTCCCCAGCCCTGCTCCACACAGGTACCCTGTCTCTGCTCCCTACAGCCAGGCCCTTCTCCCTCTGAACACAGAGAGAGACTGCTGAGCGCCTGTCTCCCAGCCTCTTTATAGGGCCAGCCGGGCTCTGACTGGGGCATGGCCCCGCTGCAGCCACTTCCCCCAATCAGCCCAGGGTTTTCTCTCTCACCCCCAGTGCTTTCCAAGGGCTGTGTAAACCTCTCAGGGCAGGAGCGGGTGACCACCCCGCTACACATACACACAAAGGAGTTACAGGCTGAGGTTTCAAACAGTAGTAGAAGCTGCTGTAACATGCAAGCTCTGTATGTCCCTTAGGGCTGACCCTAGCCAAACAGCCGGGCTCCCTTGCTGATGTTTAGCAGGTGTGCCGTCTCCCTGAAGTCCAAGCAGCAGCGGGGGGACAGATTCTTCTGGATGGATTTTATTCCATTCCCCCAGAGCTGATGGGGCACGTGTTTGTGCAGGTCTCCGCCTCCTCGTGGGTGTGGGGGGAGCAATCAGACGAGTCTTTTGTCCTCGGATGATCCACGGGGGCTTGTCCGATGTCTCAGGGTCGTCTCTTGCTGGAAAGGAGATGACGCCTCTTCTGGTAAATGAGCGTTTCACACTTGGTTATGCGTCTCTCCTGACTCGGAGCAGCAAAGGGCATTACAGTTTTAGTGCCAACGCTTATATATCACCTTATAGCATGGGCTACCGATATTATAGGTGAGAATAACGCCTACAGCAACTCACACGCTGTTCATAAAGTCTAAACACAAAACACATTTGTATAAATCGAACGCCTGTTTTAACAGCACTAACAGGTGAGCAAGACTGGTTCCCAGCCACGCGCTTGTCACTTGTCAGTAAGGCCGAGGGGCCTGGCATGAGCTGGTACCTGCTCTGCCAGTGTCAGAAGAGGAATTTCCCTCTTATCCCCCGGGGTCCGTACTGGGACCAGCACTGCTCAACTTCTTCATCAACACTCTGGGAAAAGGGGTGAACAGTGAGGTGGCAAAATTTGCAGATGATACAAAACTACTCAAGATAAAGTCCCAGGCAGGCTGTGAAGAGCTACAAAAGGATCTCTTAAAACTGGGTGACAGGGCAAGAAAATGGCAGGAGAAATTCAGTGTTGATCAATGCAAAGTAATGCACATTGGAAACCATAATCCCACCGATACATATAAAATTATGGGGGCTAAATTAGCTGTTACCACTCAAGAAAGAGATCGTGGAGTCATTGTGGATAGTTCTCTGAAAACATCCACTCAATGTGCAGCGGAGTGTTGGGAATCATTAAGAAAGGGATAGATAATAAGACAGAAAATATCATATTGCCTCTCTATAAATCCAGGGTACACCTACACCTTGAATAGTGCATGCAGATGTGGTCGCCCCATCTCAAAAAAGATCTATTGGAATTGGAAAGATTCAGAAAAGGGGAAAAATGATTAGGTGTATGGAACGGCTACCGTACGAGGAGAGATTAATAAGACTGGAACTTTTCAGCTTGGAAAAGAGATGACTAAGGGGGGATATGATAGAGGTCTATAAAATAATGACTGGTGTGGAGAAAGTAAATAAGGAAGTATTATTTACTTATAACACAAGAACTAGGGGTCACCAAATGAAATTAATAGGCAGCAGGTTTAAAACAACAGGAAGTATTTCTTCACAAAACACACAGTCAATCTGTGGAACTCCTTGCCAGGGGATATTGTGAAGACCAAGACTATAACAGGGTTGAAAAAATAACTAGATAAATTCATGGAGGATAGGTCTATCAATGGCTATTAGCCAGTGGTATCCCTTGCTAACCTCTGTTTGCCAGAAGCTGGGAATGGGCGACAGGGGATGGATCACTTGATGATTCCCTGTTCTGTTCATTCCCTCTGGGGCACCTGGCATTGGCCACTGTCAGCAGACCGGATACTGGGCTAGATGGACCCTTGGTCTGACCCAGTCTGGCCGTTCTTACGTTCTTATCCCATAACCACTTAGTTTTCTTTCGAGCCTTTGGTGAGAGACCCTGTCAAAGGCTTTCTGAAAATCCCAAAGTTCGCTATATTGACTGAATCATCCTCATCCACATGCGTGTTGAGACCCTCAAAGAATTCTAGAAGACGGGTGAGGTCCAAGTTCCCCCTACAAAAGCTGTGGTCACCTTTTCCCAACATAGCCTGTTTATCTGGGCGTCTGATCATTCTTTACTCTAGTGTCTACCAAACGGTGGGCCTAAAGCGACGGAAAGACCTCCTCTGCCATGGGGTTGTGCCAGCCTAGTCCCTGTAGCACAGACAGCAAAACCACGGACACGCTGGGAGCACCAGGACCAGCTCCCCCCAGAGGAAGGAAGAAAACACAGCGCTCGAATGGTTCTATCTTTGCACCCGCGAGCCAGGGGAGAGCGCGAACGCAGTCCCCCACTACCACAAATTATGCAGTCGAGTTTCCCGCATTTGGGGAAATCGCA